ATTCAAATTATCAAAATCCTAACTGTCCTTTTGAAAATTGGAGAAAATAAGTGTTCTCACCAAACTGCAAAATTCTTCTTTCTTCTTCGAAATTCTTCTTTCTTTCGGAAATTCTTCTTTCTTCTTCGAGACGTTGTTCTTTGTTTCGCTGCCACCATGTGAACGAAAGATTACCTTAGCATGTTGTTCTTGTCTCCTTGTTGGTAAGATGTTTCTTTCATTTGTAATTTGTAACTTATCTTGATTATCTAACTTATCTAAAGTGTGCACACCTAAAATTATATCTAAAACTAATCTTCAACTGCCTATGTCTTTACATGTGGACAACCTGGGCTCAACTGACCAGTTTGGCCTCTATAGCATAATTAGCCCTTTCAAAACTCAAGTAAACTTTAAAACAACTTGGTATTTAGGCAATTTAGCCCTTGTAGTAAATTTCTCTTCTTATTTATATTACACTCACTAATATATATGGGGACACTCCGTTGCATTTGTAAGTACTTGACCATAGACTCACTAATATATATGGGAACACTCCGTTGCATTTGTAAGTACTTGACCATTGACTCACTGATATATATTGGGGACACTCTGTTGCATTTGTAAGTACTTGACCATTGACTCACTAATATATATGGGAACACTCTGTTGCATTTGTAAGTACTTGACCATTGACTCACTAATATATATGGGAACACTCTGTTGCATTTGTAAGTACTTGACCATTGACTCACTAATATATATGGGGACACTCTGTTGCATTTGTAAGTACTTGACCATTGACTCACTAATATATATTGGGGACACTCTGTTGCATTTGTAAGTACTTGACCATTGACTCACTAATATATATGGGAACACTCTGTTGCATTTGTAAGTACTTGACCATAGATTCACTAATATATATGGGGACGCTCCATTGCATTTGTAAGTACTTGACCATATACTTTGTAAGTACTTGACCATAGACTCAGTAATATATATGGGAACACTCCATTGCATTTGTAAGTACTTGACTATAGACTCACTAATATATATGGGGACACTCTGTTGCATTTTTAAGTACTTGACCATAGACTCACTAATATATATGGGAACACTCCATTGCATTTGTAAGTACTTGACCATTGACTCACTAATATATATGGGGACACTCCATTGCATTTGTAAGTACTTGACCATAGACTCACTAATATATATGGGGACACTCCATTGCATTTGTAAGTACTTGACCATAGACTCACTAATATATATGGGGACACTCCATTGCATTTGTAAGTACTTGACCATAGACTCACTAATATATATGGGGACACTCCATTGCATTTGTAAGTACTTGACCATAGACTCACTAATATATATGGGGACACTCCATTGCATTTGTAAGTACTTGACCATAGACTCACTAATATACTCACTAATATATATGGGGACACTCCGTTGCATTTGTAAGTACTTGACCATAGATTCACTAATATATATGAGGACACTCCATTGCATTTGTAAGTACTTGACCATAGACTCACTAATATACTCACTAATATATATGGGGGACACTCCGTTGCATTTGTAAGTACTTGACCATAGACTCACTAATATATATGGGGACACTCCATTGCATTTGTAAGTACTTGACCATAGACTCACTAATATATATGGGGACACTCCATTGCATTTGTAAGTACTTGACCATAGACTCACTAATATATATGGGAACACTCCATTGCATTTGTAAGTACTTGACCATAGACTGACTAATATATATGGGAACACTCTGTTGCATTTGTAAGTACTTGACCATAGACTCACTAATATATATGGGGAGACTCCGTTGCATTTGTAAGTACTTGATCATAGACTCACTAATATATATGGGGACACTCTGTTGCATTTGTAAGTACTTGACCATAGACTCACTTATATATAGGGTGGGCCAAAAAATGCCACTTTTTTTTCAAGACACTACAACTTTTTTATTTTCCAACCTCCATACCTCAAAAAATCAACTTCTACCTCAATGAGCATCTATAAACTGACATCTAAGAAATTGTCCTTCTGGGACCATCTATAAATTGCAAACTTTAGTAACTGCTCTTCTATTAAAATAACGTCTACAAATTGCACCACTAGAATATGCAAAACTACCTAAACTTCTAAACATCTAAACTTCTATAAATTGAGTTGAGCCCTAACATAGAATTGAAATTCAAATTATCAAAATCCTAACTGTCCTTTTGAAAATTGGAGAAAATAAGTGTTCTCACCAAACTGCAAAATTCTTCTTTCTTCTTCGAAATTCTTCTTTCTTTCGGAAATTCTTCTTTCTTCTTCGAGACGTTGTTCTTTGTTTCGCTGCCACCATGTGAACGAAAGATTACCTTAGCATGTTGTTCTTGTCTCCTTGTTGGTAAGATGTTTCTTTCATTTGTAATTTGTAACTTATCTTGATTATCTAACTTATCTAAAGTGTGCACACCTAAAATTATATCTAAAACTAATCTTCAACTGCCTATGTCTTTACATGTGGACAACCTGGGCTCAACTGACCAGTTTGGCCTCTATAGCATAATTAGCCCTTTCAAAACTCAAGTAAACTTTAAAACAACTTGGTATTTAGGCAATTTAGCCCTTGTAGTAAATTTCTCTTCTTATTTATATTACACTCACTAATATATATGGGGACACTCCGTTGCATTTGTAAGTACTTGACCATAGACTCACTAATATATATGGGAACACTCCGTTGCATTTGTAAGTACTTGACCATTGACTCACTGATATATATTGGGGACACTCTGTTGCATTTGTAAGTACTTGACCATTGACTCACTAATATATATGGGAACACTCTGTTGCATTTGTAAGTACTTGACCATTGACTCACTAATATATATGGGAACACTCTGTTGCATTTGTAAGTACTTGACCATTGACTCACTAATATATATGGGGACACTCTGTTGCATTTGTAAGTACTTGACCATTGACTCACTAATATATATTGGGGACACTCTGTTGCATTTGTAAGTACTTGACCATTGACTCACTAATATATATGGGAACACTCTGTTGCATTTGTAAGTACTTGACCATAGATTCACTAATATATATGGGGACGCTCCATTGCATTTGTAAGTACTTGACCATATACTTTGTAAGTACTTGACCATAGACTCAGTAATATATATGGGAACACTCCATTGCATTTGTAAGTACTTGACTATAGACTCACTAATATATATGGGGACACTCTGTTGCATTTTTAAGTACTTGACCATAGACTCACTAATATATATGGGAACACTCCATTGCATTTGTAAGTACTTGACCATTGACTCACTAATATATATGGGGACACTCCATTGCATTTGTAAGTACTTGACCATAGACTCACTAATATATATGGGGACACTCCATTGCATTTGTAAGTACTTGACCATAGACTCACTAATATATATGGGGACACTCCATTGCATTTGTAAGTACTTGACCATAGACTCACTAATATATATGGGGACACTCCATTGCATTTGTAAGTACTTGACCATAGACTCACTAATATATATGGGGACACTCCATTGCATTTGTAAGTACTTGACCATAGACTCACTAATATACTCACTAATATATATGGGGACACTCCGTTGCATTTGTAAGTACTTGACCATAGATTCACTAATATATATGAGGACACTCCATTGCATTTGTAAGTACTTGACCATAGACTCACTAATATACTCACTAATATATATGGGGGACACTCCGTTGCATTTGTAAGTACTTGACCATAGACTCACTAATATATATGGGGACACTCCATTGCATTTGTAAGTACTTGACCATAGACTCACTAATATATATGGGGACACTCCATTGCATTTGTAAGTACTTGACCATAGACTCACTAATATATATGGGAACACTCCATTGCATTTGTAAGTACTTGACCATAGACTGACTAATATATATGGGAACACTCTGTTGCATTTGTAAGTACTTGACCATAGACTCACTAATATATATGGGGAGACTCCGTTGCATTTGTAAGTACTTGATCATAGACTCACTAATATATATGGGGACACTCTGTTGCATTTGTAAGTACTTGACCATAGACTCACTTATATATAGGGTGGGCCAAAAAATGCCACTTTTTTTTCAAGACACTACAACTTTTTTATTTTCCAACCTCCATACCTCAAATTTTGCAGTTATATAGTGCCAGGGGTTCTTAGTAATAATATAAGGTAAAAAGTCCTTCAACTTGGATCATATTTCATCTAAAATAGTAGTTCAATTGGTCCGTCACCCTATTTGATGATATATTTAAGTTTTAGTCGCGTTGCCGATATAGCAGTATCAATGAAATGTTAGCTAAGTTTTTTTCAACCTGTCTTAATTGCAAGCTTTAGTTGAGCAATTTTCTAGATTGGGTGCCTTCATACCATCTCCCGGAGACCTCCCCATACCCTATACTCACTGGGGTTTGCATTAGGGCTATTAGCTTGGCGATCATCAGGCCGTATCAGTTCAGGAACATTTTGCAAATTATGTTTATTTCACAAGAAACACCACATGTTTAAGTGAGACGCTTGTAACATATTTTATTCAAGTAAAGGTGTATAATTCATGATTCCTGGCTAGATAACAACCTCAAGTTTCATTTGGTATGCAAATTATGAATTTGTATCAAAAATTAAAAAGTTATAGCATTTTGAAAGAAAAGTGGCGTTTTTTGGCCCGTCCTGTATATGGGGACACTCCGTTGCATTTGTAAGTCTGCTACTTGATGATACTTACTAATGTGCATGGGGTGGATTTTTGATTAGGGAAATAAAATTTCATTTCTGTCAGTCTGTTGTTCCAAATCCATTAAAACTTCATTTTTGAAATCGTTAACAGTGCATTTTAGTGCTTACATAGAATAATTTAACAAATACATGTTATTAGCCATTGATTAACATCACTTATAAGGATTCATAAACATGGTATGGTTACAGAGCATGTTACCATGGTAAACTGGAGGCTGTGAAGACACTCATCTCCCAGACTGGAGACACGTGTTTAAATATGGAAAACATATTCAGCGAAACACCGCTACATAGGTAAGTATAAGATAACTATCATATTCTCTGTAATTAACGTCAGGGCATTTAAAAAACTCAAATATATTATATTAGTTTATATAATTATTTAGACATTCTGTTTTCTATTGATTCTATTAAGTTATTAATCTGTTTACTGATATAATGAAGTTTTAAATGAATTTGATTTCAGTGCTTGTACATATGGACGAAGTGTGGATCTAGTCAAATACCTTTTGGAACAGGATGCAGTGGATATGAACTATCAGGGAATGGATGGGCACACAGGTATGAAATACACTTTTCATAAAAAACTCTGTCATGAATAAGGATCTAAAGGGGATTCAACATAGCTATACACAGGGGATTAACTTGGCTTCAACAGCGACATTGAAGAGTTTATTTTAAATAGAATATACATGTGTACACTGTCAACTTATATCTTGTAGATATCTGTAACCTAACTGGTTGTACATAATCTGTTGTCATTTGTGAATCAATCAGATTATTAGTTTCAAAATAAATCAAGCCTGTTACCATGGTTACCTGGATATTACAGCTGTTATTGGATAATGAAATATATATTTTTACAGCATTACACAGTGCCTGTTACCATGGTCACTCATGGATAGTTCAGCTGCTTTTGGACCATGGAGTGGACATGAATCTTATCGCACTTTCCAGTGACCAAAATGGTGGCTCGGAAAAGAAGGAAGAGCAAACCTGTCTCATGTGGGCATATGAACGAGGTGTGTTCTCTTTTAATGTATAACTTATTATTCTATAGTACTGTATAGTATTCTAAAGTATTGAAAGCAGCTCTATCAAGTTGCAAAATCATTGGATATGGATTTCCTTTTTTGAAGTTCTTTTGTTTTGATTTAAATTATATTAAAATTATAGAAGTGAACCACTAAATGATTTAAAAGTGATATATTGTTAGATAATAAGATATATGGTATGGTATGGTATCATTGAGGCACCACCACACGAATGATATCCTTCTTATAGGGACAATTCAGTATTCTCCACCTTTGAATATCTTTTGAATAAACATGATTTACACTTTCCAATGTTAAATATTAAGGTGTGTCAAAAATAAATTACACTTTTCAATGTAAAATACCAAAGGTTGCCAAACTTGGCCGCTTTAACCAGCCAGCTTCTTAAAGCTTATTCTAACATTCTCATGTATATATGTGTAGGTCATGATGCCATAGTAACACTGCTGAAGCACTATAAGAGACCGCAGGATGAGAGTGCATGTGGGGACTACTCACAACCAGGGAGTGAGGGCTCATATGTATCGGTGCCATCACCCCTAGGAAAACTACGCAGTATGACAAGGGGTGAGTATCATACAAACTTTATATTTCTCGATGTTACATACACATCGAATTTCAGATTTCAAAACATATATTGATAAAATATGTGATATACTGTACATTATATGGTGTAAAACATATTAGATTCTTTCTTTTTCCAAGAAATCCTTTGGTTGGTACTAATTACTGAAAAGTCAAAGTCAATGGTCGGTATGTTGATAGATTAATTACAGTTTCTAGGGAATGCGTTAAAGAACAAAAAGTGTGCATATTAAGCGTACATATACATTGAATTTTAATTTGAAGCATTAATAACATTGATAGATGGCAAGTGTGGATGGTATATTGCTTTAAGTCTGTACCTATGTAGTTGCAAACCTTATCTTTATGAGGTCTATTAAAAAGGGCATGTCAGAATTTACGACAAAAGAAAATTATAATTTTAATAGGAAAACAACAGTAAAATTCCTCAAAGTAGCTGATTATTTGTTAAAACATCTAAAAATGCATTTGTCAATTTCATTTAAATGATTACATTGTGAAGCCAGTGAGTTACATGAAAAAGTATGAATATGAATTAATATGTGGGTTTAAATGTAAATATTTAGCAAATCAAGAGTATGAAACAATTGGAGTGAAACCTGTATCACCGAACGACACTCTAATCTGAACACCTCTCAATGCGAACACTTTTTAGATTCCATTTTCTAGTCTATCATAGATTAGTATTTCTAAAAAACTAAAAATATGAACACTTGACAATCTGAACATTCTGAATGGTGTTCAGACAATACAGGTTTTAACTGTGAATTCAAATCCACTTTCAGTCAGATTTCTCCTTTGGTGAACCAAATATTAATTTCTTAATCATAAATCTGAAACAGATAAGTAAAATTCCCAGAATAAAACATCCAATAAGTGTGAATAGTCCAACAATATCCAACAGAAAGTACTGGGCAAAGTTGAGTTTAAAAATGCCTTCAGATCTGAGATGTGGGGCACCTTTATGACGTATGACATATTCTACCCAATATACAACCTTTTCATTCAAATCCATTGGCTGATTGTGGTAAATATCAGCTGCTTTTAGTGCATTCTTCTTGTATGTTGCATTGTTTATCACTTTCTCCATTGTTGATCTGAAACCCTCGCTTGTAAGTCCTTTTGGATTGATACTTGCTCCAGATCCGACCCTATTGACCAGTTTGTCACAGTTGTAAGGCTGGTCTGCCCAAAAGGGTATTCCCACATTAGGTACAGCATGGTATAGTGCCTCATAAGTCCCTGTACTGCCACAGTGGTGCACAAAGAGTTTAACATTTGAGTGACCTAGTAAGTCATTCTGGGGTATCCATTTGTTGATAATAGTATTTTCACCAAGTGCTTCAGGGTTTGCACCCTCATAGCTCCAAATAACTGTCTGGTCCATAGTAGCAAATGCCTTTGCGAAGATTTCGGCCATTTCCAATGGCAACCTGCGAAACAAAGACCCAAAGCTAACGACTATCACACCATGTTTGCTCGACTTTTCTACAAGGTCTTTAAAAGTACCAGTCAGTGGCTTAGGTTTTTCCATCACAAAACTTCCAATTGACACCATGTTTGGCATATATGGTTGCGGGTAATGGAGAGCATCGTTTCGGTTCATTAGTACGAGTGAAACAGTTTTGTAAAAATTTCTTACATTTTCACAGGCTTCTTTTTTAACATGCTCCATATTCAGACACATTGATTCAACTTCTTGAAATGTTGCGCTGAAGTAGTATTTCACTTTAAGATGTTCCATTATATTTCTACATCTTTGCCAGAAATTCATTATATCACTTGTCGCACTGGGGCTCCAGTCTAATGGAACATATGATGGATTCAGTGGATATATAATATCAACTGTGCTAGGCACTGGTCCTTGGATTGAATAGGCAATTACAGGAACATTAAAATGTGCACCAAGAACCCTTGCTGTGAGGGCAAACTCATCAGCTATTATCAAATCCAATTTTGCTTCGGAAATCTTTTGCCAGGTGTTCATGTCTTCAATGGTTTGCTTGAATGTTGCTGGTAATAAATGTGCCAATATTTCTCGTACTACCGATGAATATGGCTTGTCCATCATTGCATTCAGTTTCTTTTGATTCCCTGTTAAATCAGCCTGACTCTGATCTACTGGAGGAACATTATACGTGATCACATTAAAGCGGCTAAATGCATCTGCAACTTCATTCTCTGGCAGTTTGAATAATGGATGCTCTTGTAGCACATTAGAACATAGGAAGTTGATATTATGTCCCTTCTTAGAGAGAATATTTCCTAACTTGATCATATGAGTCATGCGACTGTTATAGCCCTGGTCGAATGGAGCTATCAGTATATTACTGCCATTGCAGTCCATAATGCACAACACAGCTACCAAAAATAGAGATATCCAATGCATTGTTTTAAATGGTCGAAAATCGGTATTCATCTCCAAACAATTTTCCATGATTCTGATGCAAATGTGCTTTACATGTACACTGTACAATGTTACTGTTTTAAGCATGTCAGAACGTTCTAATCTAACCTAGACTGTTATAACAGCATCAGAAATATTTTTTATAGACTTAGGCCCTTGAGAGGTGTGTTTTGACCTTTAGCTTGTTCTGCTATTGTAAACAGGTGGAAAAAGTTGTTTTGCTGAATTACACCTTATAAGAAGAGAGAGAATATCCCAGAATTCATAGGTGAATTTATCTGAATATAAAAAGGAACATCAAGGTTCATTTTAACATAGAGATAGTTTTATCTTTGAAGGCCCTGTGTAAAGTTTTTAAATATGTTTTTCATTTACAACTTTTCATGCCTTTAAAACTTATTTTAGAGATTTTAAAAAAAATTAGGGGAGGGGGAAGTTGTCAGCTTTTTATTTCTCAATTATCCAAATTTCCCAATCATTTTATTTAATATCTAGTACTGGTGAATGTGGCCAGTAGTACCAATGAAAAATTGAATAATCATCAAATGCCAAAATTCCCTAACTTTGCCAAAATATATAGGTTCAAAATAAACAATTACCATTGGTATATACAATGTAATTGCACAGATTGAGTTACAACAGTAAATTCACAATTTAGTCAATGTGGGAATATTGTAAAATTCACAACATGAATACACTTATACATGGCACAGCTTTAGGCAAAGATATGTGATATGAAAACAAAGGAGGAGGGAAAGTATCGCAACAGATTTCGGACAGGTGCATATGTTAGGCCAATGCATTTCCTCCAGGAAAAGCACTCATAGAAATGATAAAATATGTTTTTCTGAAATGTTGTTGTGATTTTCAACCCCTTCTACCCTTGCTGTTTCAATTTTTGTTGTATCAATATATTGAGTTGTGACACTCAGTTAACCACTTTAAAGGAATAAGTGATTTTTTCAGGGGTTTTAAAGATATCAATTATGGGTGACCAAACTTGGCTAAAAGCCATGGGTCGCATGACTTTTCCCTATGGGAAAATACCATGGGAAATATTGTTTTCCACTTTATCTTAGAGGAATCACTTATTCCTTTAAAGGGGTTAACTGTGTGTCAAAACGCAACATATTGATGCAAGAAAAATTAAAAAAGCAGGGATGGAAGGAGTTGAAAATCAGGAAAACATTTCAGAAAAAACATGTGGGTGGGTTGTTTGCATCTACTCTGTCTTAAAGTCGAAATTATTTTATCATCTCTAGAAGTGCTTTTCCTGGAGGTAATGCATTGTCACCTGTTTAAATTCTCAGAAAATGGCCAAAATCCAACATATGACTGTCCGACATCTGTTGCGCTAATTTCCCTCCTCATTTCGTTTCCCAAGTATTATATATAGTCCCTGATCTGGACCCTCTGAAAAAAAGTTTTGTTGTCCGGTACTTTCCCACATAAAATGATTGTACCGTTTGAAAGAACAGACTTCCCTCTTAAAGAAAACACCTCTTCTATTGATGTAAACAGGGGCGAAAGGCACCAAAACGGGGTTAGACAAGGTGGCATTCTGAAGTCTCACTTTCTTGTCATCACGATTCCAAGTAAACCATCAGACAGATTTACTTCAAATTTTCACACATGTTACATGGTAAGAAGTTCTAGAGCTGATTAACTTTGCGGTGGCCATCTTGCATTCTGGTCGCCATCTTGGAATTTTTTCAGATAAATATTGTCATCGCGATTCCACAAAAACCACACAACAGATGTACTTCAAATGTTCACACATGTTACATGGTAAAAAGTCCTAGACCTCATTATTTTTTCGGTGGCCATCTTGCATTCTGGCAGCCATCTTGGAAGTTTTAAGATAAATCTTGTCATCACGATTTCAGGAAATCCAAACGGATTTACTTCAAATTTCCACACATGGTAAGAAAATATAGAGGTGAATAACTTTTCGGCAGCCATCTTGCATTCTGGTGGCCATCTTGGAAATTTTGGGATAAATCTTGTCATCGTGATTCCAGGAAAACAACTTAACAGATTAACTTCAGATTTTCACACATGTTACATGGTATGAAGTTCTAGAGCTGATTAACTTTTCAGTGGCCATCTTGCATTCTGGCAGCCATTTTGGAAGGTTTATAGATAAATCTTGTAATCAAGATTCCATAAAAACCACTTCACAGTTTTTCTTCGAATTTTCACACATGTTACATGGTATGAAGTTCTAGAGCTGACTTACTTTTCGGTGGCCATGTTGCATTCCGTCGGCCATCTTGGAAGTTTTTAGATAAATCTTGTCATCACGATTCCATGAAAACCACGTAACAGTTTTACTTCATATTTTCACACATGTTACATGGTAAGAAGTTATAGAGCTGATTAACTTTCCGGTAGCCATCTTGCATTCTGGCAGCCATCTTGGAAGTTTGTAGATAAATCTTGTCATCACGATTCCAGAAAAACCACTTTACAGATTTGCTTCAAATTTTCACACTTTATACATTTACATTCACAATGGTCCCTTCCTTGTATATTTTTTTTTAGGTTTTATGACTGTCAAATTCTATAGTCTTGTTAAGACCACTTTATAAACAGGTTTATCATTACTTTTATGACTGTTAAATTATATAGTCTAGTTAACACTACTTTATAAATAGGTTTATTATTACTGGTGTAATTAACACAACGAAAAAAATATAATTAATTTATTTGATCTTATATAACATGAAATTATTTTTTCTTTTCGATAATACATTGCTTATTAGAAATATATTTAGTTGAAAACTTAGAGTAAACAATCAGTTCTTCTATCACAAACTTTATTTTGGTTCAGTAGATTTTTCTATACATTATTTTTATGTCACCACCACTAGTGATTGGGTGACATATTGTAATAGCTTCGAATGTTTATCTTGACACTGTTCAGTAGTTAATGTGTACTGTATACTTAACAAGGTGTGGTGACATTTTGCATGTTTCTGCATCGTCACTACTATTGAAAGCTTATGTTGATATTGAAGCAGTGTTTTTTAAGTTCTTTTTGTTGGTACAATTAGTTTCCAAACCCTATACTTATATCTATATCGATCTGACACACAGTTTTAGTGCAGGTTTAAGTGATTTTTGTTGATTATTAAACGCAAAGAGCACATGTGTCTCGAACTCGCAACATTGTGGATACAGAGCCCATTCACATAGTTTGACATGCTGGTGCTCTGAACCAGCTCGTTAGTTAATATCTGACGAAGAGACAGCTTGCTTTCCCGATGAAGAAACGTTATCTGCAGCTTTTATGAGTACTATAGTATCTACAACTATTTTTGATCTTATGAGTATTGGATATCATTATTTTCAATTTTTCTTCAACATATATTTTAATGACTTCAGTATGAATGGAATGTCCCTCGGAGTTGTGGTCGTTGATGAGGAATTGGTCATTGAACGGTGTGGATGCTGATTATTCCCATATTAGATTATTGTCTTGGGATATTCAGGTTTGATTTTTGTTTGCCAGTTTTACATTTTACAGTTTGCTTTTCCCACTAGGTTGCTTTACACTTTTTTCCTTTCTCATTTGTCATTTTTGTTTATAGTAAGGATTTAGTAAGGATATGATACGCAGGTCTCTCCTTCTGTGTGATCACCTGTCCAGAAGATAATTCAACTGCATGAAGAACATTTCGTTGACATGATGCACAGTGAAAGATTTTCCACACATTTACATTTTCGTTTAAAAGAGCTTTAATTCCGTTATATACTCAGATCAAGGCCAATTTAGCATACATTTCGCTCTCAAAAATCGCTGTGCAATAATGGATTTCAAAGAAATGTTTGACGTTTTCAATAATCTTTTTTCTTTTTGATGAAATGTAGTTATTTATTCTAAACATCAATCGATGTCATACACAAAATGCATTTCAGTGGTATAAAGTCACACCCGGTGATCGTCCAAAAATGATGGAGGGTGGGATTAGGCGATTTCTGCAAGAAAACTCAACAAATTTGGAAGATTTATTTTTTCAAGAGAAAATTTACAACTGAATTGCCAAATGAGGGGGGGATCCGATGGAGGGGGGGATCACGTGTATACAAGACATGATAAGACATGCTACTTGAATTTATTCTTATGACCCCAAATTTTCCCATTTTTCATTCTCCGGAGATATAATATCCAGTTTCTTACTGGGGTACTGAGTTTAGTTTTTTTAAATGCACGAGTTCTTGTGAATTTGTTCCATCGTAAAGATATAAAAATCCCCCCTCCATCCGATCCCCCTCCATCCCAAATTAATTTATTTCGATTATTTTTTGTATAACTCATGGAAACTAACTTTAAATAAAGTATTGTGATAATAACGTCCCCTATACCTATTTATTACAGGCCGTGTAGACCATTGTTGCCCGATTTATAGCAAAAACATTGACTTTTGCACGTTGGTGATGATGCGCCTTTTTTAATAGATCTCATATCTTAGAAGGGTGCCAGTTCAAAAAAAATACTAGATGACCTAACATATTTTGCCATGCACTGCGCCTATTCATTTGGCAATTCAGTTGTAAATTTTCTCTTGAAAAAATAAATCTTCCAAATTTGTTGAGTTTTCTTGCAGAAATCGCCTAATCTCCCCCTCGTTCATTTTTGGACGATCACCGGGCGTGAAAGTACAGAAGCAGAGTAAAAATATGTATTTTAGAATATCACCATGTGTTACCCCATTATAGCGCCTCTTGCCCATGTTTCTATCAATATAAAACATGATATCATACACCAAATATGCATTTATGTCAAATTATGTGGTTTAAAATACAGAAAAATAGATAACATTCTCCTTAGAATACCACCTTGTGTAACCCAACTTTACTGCCTTTTGCCCCTGTTTATATCAATATAAAAGGTAGCATGTAACCTTCCTTGTAACATGTGTAAAAGTTTCAAGAAAAATCAGTAAAGTTGTTTTCCTGGAATCACAATGACAAGATTTATCCAAAAAACTTCCAAGATGGCCGCCCGAATGCAAGATGGCCACAGAAAGGTTAATTAGCTCTAGAACTTCTTACAATGTAATATGTGTGAAAATTTGAAGTAAATCTGTTTGGTTTTCCTGAAATCGTGATGACAAGATTTATCTTTAAACTTCCAAGATGGCTGCCAGAATGCAAGATGGCCACCGAAAAAATAATGAGGTCTAGGACTTTTTACCATGTTACATGTGTGAACATTTGAAGTACATCTGTTATGTGGTTTTTGTGGAATCGCGATGACAATATTCATCTGAAAAAAATTCCAAGATGGCCGCCAGAATGCAAGATGGCCACTGCAAAGTTAATCAGCTCTAGAACTTCTTACCATGTAACATGTGTGAAAATTTGAAGTAAATCCGTCTAATGGTTTACCTTGAATCGTGATGACAAGAAAGTGAGACTTCAGAATGCCACCTTGTCTAACCCCGTTTTGGTGCCTTTTGCCCCTGTTTACATCAATAGAAGAGGTGTTTTCTTTAAGAGGGAAGTCTGTTCTTTCAAACGGTACAATCAGTTTATGCGGGAAAGTACCGGACAACAAAACCCCTTTTCTAGAGCCCTTTTGGAAATCAGATCGGGGACTAATATGGTTTTATATAGAGTAACCTTTAACTAAGCTAAGAGAATGAAGAACAACCTACGTGCTATAATGGCACAATAAGGAATGTTTAAAATCCATGTGATAGAAAACTGAACTGAATGTTCAAATCTTTGATATCCACTTAGTCAAGGTATGAACTTGAGCAATAGAAAGCATGAGAGCAAAAAAAGACATCGTAAATAAAATATACAAAACTCATGACTCATTTATCTTGATTGTGTGATTTTAGAGAAAATAGACGTTCTTCACCTTCGTGCCAATATCCCACACAATCTGCAAGTGTTGTTTACAGACATTGAGCTCATGGAACCTATTGGCAGTGGCTCATTTGGCTGTGTGCATAAAGGAAAATTCAGGGGGAAAATTTGTGCTGTAAAAAGGTAGAGCCTAGATTCCTTAAAAACTTTTTTTTAACCCTTTGGCAGTTGCTTGTCTGGCTGTGTAAATCAATGAAAATTCAGGATGAAAATATGAACTGTAAAAAGGTAGAACCCTAGATTTCTTTTAAAACTTTTTATTAACCCTTTGGCAGTGGCTTGTTTGGCTGTGTTCATAGGAAATTCAGGGGGAAAATGTGTGCTAACTTTTTTAAATCTTTGGCTGTGCTGTATTGATGTTTTGGATGACCCATGCCCAATTTATTTAGAAAACAGTCTATGAACTCTCAAAATAATATATATAATTCTATTTACATGATGTACAGGGTGGTCCAAAAAAAATTGGAACATTTGTTAATTGACCGCAAAACCTTTATTTTTCTTCTAAAATGTACCAAACTTTTACTGAGCATAGTTCAGTCACTTATTTATCTGATGTAAAGTTTATATGTGAAAACCACAAAGTTAATGCATTAAAATAGTCAATGTTTGATAGGACCCCCTTTTCTTAAATATACACTTGTCAATTCCGCGGCTACTTTTTCAGGTATTATTTATTTCAAAGCATTAATGCACATGTTAATTGCTATAAATATTTTATAAAATCATATTCAGTTGACAAAGAGTATTTACATCTGGGGTTTGCCAGAAAAATATTGTGTTAACTTAAACTTAAATAAACAATACCCAAAATGATCATTTCCATTTAAGAGTAGGGAAAAAGGAACATGTCAGAGGTGAGCGATTGCATAACCCTCACAGCTACTCAAGTGACAAAAGAATTGTTCCCACTTTTCAGTAAAGGCAAAACTGACCATGGCCAGTTATTCACATTAAAAACCAATGCTAAGCACACATACAGTGTATAATATATATATAATATACCATTTGTGTTCTCTCTATGATATTGATAGACATATTAATATATCCAATGGATATAATTCATATCAGAACAATTAAGGGGAGGGGGCTTCATTTACCAGTCAAATCAGACTGCCCTGGCCTCTTTCTGGAGAATATTCAATCAGTAATACACCCAACAATAGCAGGCGCGTATCGTCATGTACGCAAAATACGCCCAGGCGTACTGTTTGAATTTGAAAAAATATTTTGAAAAAACATGAAATACAGTATTTTTCTATTTTACTGTTATTTTCTTTGATGATGTGTAAACCTTTGTTGTACAAGTGTATTAACACTGAAAAAGTTCTCGATTCCCTCATTGTCATTCACTGTTTTCGTGATTCAAAGATTCAAATTTTTTCGTGATTCAAAGAGTTGTGTCATTCTTGTACGCTTCTTCAAGGCCGTATGGGGTATGATGGCGAATCCCGGTAGAGTACACGCTCAAAATCAGCAAATTCAGTACGTTTTAACCTGAGTATCACTTGACATTATTGAATGTAAGAAGTAATTTAATCATTTAAACCGTACGATAAGTGGATTTAGCTTTAACTACATTGATTAAGCCAATAAAGCCCTTATGTGTTGAGCATTTCCAAACTCGCACGACCTTGTGCAGACGACTTTCTCTATTTTCGTCTGGTGTAGTGTTTTTATTTTTGGGGGCCTGTAATTCACGGGTTACTAATCAATTAATTAATACCACGTCTATTGCAGAAATGGCCCCAGCTATGGCAACATTATCGATGCAAATTCATTAAGGGAGTGTATTACTTCTGTAGAGAGAAAACAAACTCTCATTGAGGGTGTTTGGCCAAAAAATCATACGCCAAAAATTGCATTCATCTTCACACATTATTCATCCACATACGGGGGCGTACCCTTGCAAAATGACCACGATACGCGCCTGAATAGCCATCAAAATATGCTTGATACTCATGAATTTGGGTAAAAAATGTTAAATATGTTACTAGATTTGATCTTCCAAGGCAAACAAATAGAAAGTTTGATCAAGCTGAAATTTTTAATTGAGATGGCTTGGACAAAACAAACGAACAGCAAACTAATTGAATATTTACAAATCTGAGCCCCAGGCTTCAACTTGTAAGTCAGGAGAAGAGGGGTCATATCAAATATCGACTAGTTTAATGCATTAACTTTGAGGTTTTCACCTATAAACTTTACATCAGATAAATAAGTGACTGAACTATGCTCAGTAAAAGTTTGGTACATTTTAGAAGAAAAATAAAGGTTTTGCGTTCAATTAACAAATGTTCCAATTTTTTTTGGACCACCCTGTATATTCTCCAGATATCGTGCCAGTACATTTGGTGCCAAGTCAGATGTTGATATGTTCTGTAGAGAAGTCTCAATTCTGTCCCAGTTACATAGTTCATATGTGATCAAGTTTGTAGCGGCTGTACTTGATGACCCTAGTGTGAGTATATTAGGAAGAGTCCCATGCAATTTGGAACAGAGAACAAATTTTATAATAAGAACCATATATTTACTCTAAAACCTGAACCATTCTATTAGATTACCATGTTGAAAACTTAAAATGTGAAATAATTAAAATTGAAATAATTTTGGCTGTCTGATTGGGTTTTTGATAAGACATGTTTAACTAAATATACTGTAGAATTTTTATTGCACCCTTGCGCCGGTTGATAAGTGCGCGTTGCACTTAATTTGGTCTCCTCATTTCCAGGCAAATTCGGGGATGTTTTCTTTGAATGATTAGTTGTTGAGCATTCTGGGTAAATGTTAAGGTGACCATTTTGGGTGTCCCATACCAAAACCTGTCCATTATGTCCAAGGGTGTGATACTGTTTAACCTGTCTTTTTTACAGCAATTTGCCATCATTACTGAGTTTGTCTCTGGTGGCTCCCTCTTCAGTATACTACATGAGCAGAAAAGGTAACACTGATTCATTTGTTCTTTCTGTAGGATGATGAAATTTTGTATTTAGTAAGATATTAACATGTGTCAAGTATGTGTCAAATAAATAGGTGAATGAGGGAAATGAGAATGCACATATTTTTCACACAATTTTTATTATTTGAGGCCTTTAAATGCAGTGATTGATTAGATGGGGAAGAGACCATGTGACATTGTTTCCTTACATATAAGATCATAGTTTTTGATATTTGGGATATGTTTTTCTTACAGCTGTTATCTTAAATTTTTAATTTCTTGCTCTGTTTTGTAACACAAAAATTCTGACAGTGTTTTTATTGTACCTAAAAAAGGTACGGTATTGTCATCAACTTGGTGGGTGGCGACATCTCACTTTTCTTGTCATTGTGATTTTCTTAACGGAATTACTTCACATTTTTGTAATTATTCATATTTGTAGGCTCATTGATTTGCATTCCAAGCTGACTATATCACTAGATGTTGCCAAAGGAATGGACTACTTACACACCCTACCACAGCCGATTATACACAGAGACCTTAACAGTCATAATATTTTACTCACAGAGAATGGCCATGCTGTAGTGGCAGACTTTGGAGGTATGTACTTACTCTATACTTGAATGATTTAGTCTCCAGTACCATTCTGGGTGATATTTAAGTGGAACACTTTTGGTACCTCTAAAAAATGTTCCACTTTGAAGGTGTTCCCCTTATAGCGGTTAATTAAACGTTAAGTCAGTTGGCCTTGGGGCTCTGAAAAGTGTGCGACTAACAGAGGTGTTCTACTTCTAGAGATATTTCCATTTTTCAAGTTTCACATTACTTCCATTGTCCTTTTTTTAGGCAAAATTATCCTCAGATATCCAAAACCTAATATCATGTTTTATGTATTACTGTCCGGGAACTACCATTCAGTAATCAGTGGGAGATTTGGAAGATACTTATGTGCTTTTATAATGTGGTATATACTGTACCCATCATATCTCTTCTGTTGGAGTACTAGTAGTAGATCTTCATCAGGATAAATCTGATATCCAACTTGACTTATAATTATATTTTTCATTTAGAATATATGAACATGTAGTTGTGGAAGATTTTTGATGTATAAGTGAACACTTTGGGTATTAAATTTAAAATTTATTTCAGAGTCCAGATTTCTTAGCTCAAGAGAAGGAATGGTCCAAGATGACAATATGACCAAACAACCTGGGGTAAGAATTAAATGACCAACAAACAACCTTGCATAGGTATTATATAGTGAATTAAATGACCAACAAACAGCCTTGCATAGGTATTATAAAGTGAATTAAATGACCAACAAACAGCCTTGCATAGGTATTATAAAGTGAATTAAATGACCAACAAACAACCTTGCATAGGTATTATAAAGTGAATTAAATGACCAACAAACAGCCTTGCATAGGTATTATATAGTGAATTAAATGACCAACAAACAACCTTGCATAAGTATAACATAGTGAATTAAATACAGAGAAGGCTATATACTTTTGGTCTCTGAACAGCCTGGATTAATCAATTATATCACAAATAACCTCGATACTTACTATTATTTTGCCAAACAATATATTAGTTTAAGCATTAACAAATTCATTTGTGGTTGCTTTATCATTTAAAGCTACAATTTCAGGCATAATGCTTCATTTAACATTGATTTATTTATATTGCAGAATTTGCGTTGGATGGCTCCTGAGATTTTTACACAGTGTACCAAATATAGTATCAAGGCTGATATGTTTAGCTATGCCTTATGTATCTGGGAACTTCTAGCAGGAGAGCTGCCATTTGCTCATCTCAAGCCAGGTAAAAATACAGTCCCAGCAAGTTTCAGTTGATGGTTCAGGCCCGTAAGACACTTTTCTCCAAGGGGGGTGCGGTTTTTAGCTTACTAAAGAGAATATAAAATTGTCAATTTTTTGGCCGCGAAAATCAAATCGTGTAAGTCAGAGGGGGGGGGGGAGGGGGGCTCAGTTACTCCCTATATTGGTTTGGAATTAACAAATGCAACTTCCAAAAGTTCCAATTGTTTTGTGGGGGGTGTGAGGAGTGGTCCACTCTCCCTAGAAAATTTTACAGTTTTGAGATGCTATTTGGTGCTTTCTGGGCACTTTCAAAGTGTATGTTTCCAAGTAGTACGCCACCACCATGGGAATAAGAGTTGAGTGAATAAAAAACCGAGCATTCAGGGGGGTCTCCCCCAGGAAAATTTTGAAATTTGGTTGTATTTGGAGCGAATTTGCAACCATCTGGTACGCCTGTGCGTTATGAGTCAATAAGAAAAATGTGTATTTTTTCAAATTCTTTTGGGGGTGTCAAAGTGGATGAGAGGGTGAAGTGGGATGTGGTGCCAGTAGGGGAGCAAGGGGTTGTCCCCCAGAAACATTGACCATATCAAGGTGCTATTTGATGATGTCTGGGCACTTAAAAATGTCTGAGACAATACATGAAATTCAGAATATTTTCTTTTGTTTTGTGGGTGAGGGGTGGCTAACTCTCCTAGAAAATTTTACAATTTAAAGATGATATTTGGTGCTTCTGGGCACTTTTAAAGTGTATTAGTCAGTAAAAACATTGAAAAATAATCACAATTTTTTTCAAGTTTTGGGGGTGTTAAAGGGGGGGGGGGGGGGGGGGGGGGGGGGGGGGTGCCAGAGGGGGAGGTGGGGCTGGGGTGCCAGAGGGGGAGCAAGTGTTTGTCCCCCATATCAAAATTTACAATATCAAGGTGCTATTCGATGAAGTTTGGGCACTTTAAAAGTGTCTGTGCCTAAAAGTGCCTATTTCCCAAGAAACTTTTACAATTTTAAGATGCTATTTGGTGCTTTCTGGGCACTTTAGTCAATAAAGTCAATAAAAAAAATTTGAAATTTTTTTTTTGGGGGGGGGGGGCTGCCAGAGGGGAGGTGGAGTGGGGATGCCAGAGGGCGAGTAAGTGTTAGTCTTCCAGAATCATAAACTTTATCAAGGATGATGATGATGTCTGGGCAATTTAAAAGTGTCTGAAACAGTACATAAAACAAATTCAGAACTTTTCCATTGTTTTGTTTGGGGTGTGAGGGGTGGCCTACTCCCCCTAGAAAATTTTACAATTTTACAACGCTATCTGGTGCTTTCTGGGCACTTTCAAAGTGTATGAGTCAATTAAAGAATTTGAGAAAATCACAATTTTTTTTTTTGGGGGGGGGGGTCAAGGGGGGGGGGGCGCCAGAGGGGGGGGGTCTATGAAAGTGCAAGATACAAGAGGGGGAGCAAGTCCCCCAAAAACACTAACTATATCAAGGAGCTATTTTATGATGTCTGGGCACTTTAAAAGTGTCTGAGACAAAACACTAAAATAAATTAAGAACTTTTCCATTGTTTTGTGGGGGTGTGAGGGGTGGCCAATACCCCTAGAAAATTTTACAATTTTAAGATGCTATTTGGTGCTTTCTGGGTACTTTCAAAGTGTATGAGTCAATGAAAAAAAAATTACAAAAAAAATATTAAAAAAAAAATTTTTTTCAATTTTTTTTTCAAATTTATTTTGGGGGGTGACAAAGGGGGGTGCGGTCGCACCCATCGCACCCCCCCATCTGACGGCCCTGTGGTTAGAAAATAAAAACAATTTATTTTCATCATAACAAGTTTATTTCCCAAAAGCTTTAAATGAGATGTGATGAATGCAAAGCTCATCTGAAATTAATAAAGAAAAAATAATTTAAATTACATTTACTATTAGAGATCTTAGTACTACTTAACCAATTAAGCCGATGACACTTGTTGAGGGGCATTATTGTACAAGTACCAGATATCTAAATAAAAATTTCTAAAAATACTACAAGTAAAGAACTGTACTTAGAATATGAATAATTGTTTTGCTAAAAATACTTCAAATATGGAACAATATGATTTATCAATAGAATATTAATTAATAATAGATGCTTTATGTGTGTCATGGATTTTTTCAGCGGCAGCAGCGGCAGAGATGGCATATAGGAACACCAGACCTCCTATAGCAATAACCTTTCCTAAACCAATCATAAGCCTGTTGCAGAAAGCTTGGCATGCAAATCCAGAGGTATGGAGAATATGTCGTTCCCATATATCCTGCCACTTTAGTTATATCAGAAAAACTATGATATTTGGCTTAATTGATGATGTCATTGGTTGTAGGTAGAAATCTGACCATACAAAAACAGGATCAACTTCTTGCTAATTTCAAAAATTACAACCTATGACATCACCAAGCTAGGCAATATATCAAAGGTTTCCTGATGTGTCAAAAGGTGGCAGGATGTTTCGGACAGCTCTATTAAGAGAAAAGTCGTTAAATTCAAAGATAATTGAATAAGTACTGGTTCACTGAACACTGTCCGGTGAATTTCAATACGGATGCATTTATAATTTAGCTGGCTTTAGGAGAATTAAATGACCGTTAAAATTGATAAAGCAAATTGTCCAGGTACTTTAATATGAGCTAGTGTCTGACTATTTCTCATCCCATCACATAATATACATCAATTAAGGTCTCCATATATGCTCCATATATATATTATATATGATTTATATTTAGTAAAACCTGTCTATGTGGAACACCTTTCTTTTGGTATCTCTTAAAGTGTTCCACTTAGGAGGTGTTCCACTTATAGAGGTTCATTTCACATTTAGTCATCTGGTGTTGCGACTCTGAAGTGTTCCACTAACAGAGGTGTTCCACTTGTACAGGTGTTCCACTTTACATGTTTCACTGTAATACAAGTATGAAGCAAAATATATATTTGTTCCAGGACCGTCCAGAGTTTAGTAGCAGTATCCCTATATTGGAGATGTGTAAGGAATCTCAAGCTGTGGCAATGCTTAGTAATTCAGCACAGGTGTGTGCCATTAGTGCAAGTTTTTTTTTTATTAAATATATTTACTCTAAAAAGGTTTCATACATATTGCTAACAGTTGACACTCTAATAAGTGTATCAGTGTGAATAAACTTAATTTGTACTCTGGGTCACATGGTCACATAGTCAAAGTCTCTCATTAAATTCAGCAAGTTAAATATTGTGTTTGTCTGAATAAAATACACTCCACTATGATTCGCTTTATTGTACCCAGACTTCATGCTGCTGAAGAAATTATTTTGTTTCTTTTGGAAATGTTTAAATGTTAGTTTTTTGAGATCGTAATGTAATTTGACACATACAGTTATGTATTCCCAATCGTGAGAAATTATTCTTTGAATCACAAATATGAAAACAATTGTGTAGAATTATAGTAAGAAAAACACTATATATGAGTAAAACAATGAGGTAAAGCATTTAGAAACAATGACCTGTCCATCCACCTTCAGGACCAGGAACCATTATTACAATCCAAATACCAAAAGAGCATGAAGTCAAATGTGTTACATTGTCTTTCCTCACATAGATGGAGACGTTTACAATAAGTACTTCCCATTGTGCACCAGAGGAGGATGAAGAAGAGGATGATGGGAGATCCACACCTCCTTTGGCAGGACACGTGTCTGCCATGCGTACACGTTGGGAGCTAGAAGCTTCGAAGAACAGGTAAGAACAACAGTCATACTCTTTTGTTCTAATTTTACATTCAATAATTTTAACTATGACCCGTGTAAAATAGTGTAAAATATTGATCTGAGTCCTTAATATTCGAAGATGATGTTCTGAAATCTGGGACTATCTAGTGGTGTTCGCATTTCAAAATATTGATCTGAGTCCTTAATATTCGAAGATGATGTTCTGAAATCTGGGACTATCTACTGGTGTTCGCATTTCAAAATATTCCAAGGTGGAAGTCAAAAATGTGATTGAAAAATGCGTTCACTTGAGATGTGTTCAGAAAAGAGAGTTGTGTAATTACGCCAAGAGAATTTAGTTTATGTTTTCTAAAAGAGACAACATGATCGACGTATTATTTTTTGTTCAATAGTGGGGTTCCGGTTGATGAGTTGAGACGAAGGATCCCTTACTTACAGCTAGACAAAAATGGCTATGTATCGGACCCCTTAAGCACACTACGAATGCCTTTAATGCCGAGTGGATCCATACCAGAACCACCTCCACTACCTTCATCACCAACATCTTTGAATCTTGCAGTGTCAGAATTACTTCAGGAAAAGACAAAATTCCCGGAGGAGAAATGAGACCTCTTATGGGAGAAGTGCAATATTGAACAATAGAAACATCACTTATACTCCTATACATGTAAATGGAATCTCTGTTTTATAGCTCATGAAGTCTTGGGCTGTTGTATGGGCAGCGATTGGCAGCAACGAGACAAGAAAACCTCATCCATTTAAGATTTAACACAAATTTCTTGAAAATACAAGAGTAAATCTGTTGTACAGTCATCTTGAATTTTCTAGATATTTCTCAATACATCTTAAAATCATAAAACTTTAGATACTTTTGATCGTTCAGAATTGTATAGCTTTTAGAGGGCATCAAATACTAAAGTTGGGTAACTTTTTACCTTGTTTATCTTGACTAATATCGCAATTTCTTGACATCTTGAAACTATTAAAGGATTCATTTCAAATTGATTGAGGATACTTTGCACAAAGGTATTTAGACCTGATTACAAGACGTGGGGTCGTGCTGCAAATTCTACTCCTCAACTGCGATATTTATACGAATTATCACCATATATTGGCTCACATTTTTTACTTGATATTTTATAATTTATGTAATTGTAGAGTTTTGCTACTTTGTGCAATAATGTTTGATTAATAAAACAAAAAATATTGATAATGAATGTTCAAAAAGGCTGTTGGGTTTCACTTTTACTTGCTAGGGATTCAACAATTTATTGTACAATAATTCAGTTATTGTAACTTAGGGTATATTGTATAATTTTGCTGTATAATATTGCAGAAACAAATTAAACTGGAGAAGCAAATATCTTTGTATTATATTTTTAATGTTTATTTGTTACTTTGAACATAAAAATGCAATCAGTACAGTACATGCGAAGCTACTCTTTCAATACCAAAGTCTGATATTTGGGTTTCTTTTACTTCACATACGAGTCACACTTTGAGCTAAAAAAGGCTCTCTCCCACTAGACACACTGCATGGACCAAGTACGCATGGTATCGTGGTACGTACCGTGCTGTGTCGTGAAATGAGTGATTCGATCCCTTTTTAGTACCACTATACAATCATCCTTTGGTGAAACCTCTTGCAAACGATCACTAGCACGTTTTTCTGTATACTATAAGGTCATTCCATTTGCAAACAGTTTCTTGGTAGTTGGTTTGGTTAAATTATTTGTACTTGATACGCATCAGATAAATAAACAGTATGCTATAGTTTTCGTCTAAATTAAATGTTTTGCAGTAAGCCTCTGACAGCCCCTAACTGCAAGTCCCGTACAAAGTTTTACTTTGAAGCTGCAAGCGTAGCTATGACAGAGAGTGCAATTACGTTGAATAGAGTCCCTGTATTAATTTTCGCCCCAGAAGAGTTCTTCTTGAATCCATTATCTGCGATCATCTTTTTGTACCATTTTGCTGAATCCTTTGCTGTTCTTGGTCGCTTTGGATCGGACATGTCCACATAGTAAAGACCATAGTGTTCCTCGTAGCCCCTACCCCATTCGAAGTTGTCCATTAACGACCATGCTGTATATGCTCGCACGTTCACATTATCTTTTCTAATCGCTGGAAATAAGCAATACATTACTTAAAATGAAACATTTGTTACTGATGTCGAACCCTGGTCGCAAAACGGGGGCTAATATGTCACAACGTCATGTGAGTGACATAAAATACAACACTTATATGTGGATCGCACAGTGCCTCTTCGTCAAAATCCTCTAAGAAATTAATAAAAATAGATATTTCTCAATCTGCATCTTATTTTTTAAACATTTCACCCTCATCTCGGGCTCTATTCCTTGCTTGCACTTCAGAGGCGTATCTGCGAAGTTTTGCCATTGTACGCAGGTGGATGGTTATCTTGGATTTGAAATTGAGAGGGACGCCTTGATTGAAAATGGGAAGGCGATGGTGTGTTGAAAAACTGAATTCCAATGTTTGTAGTATAATAGCTGGAGTACAGTAATATGGCCCCTGTATGATTGGTTAAGTTAACAAGAATCCACATTATTTTGTTTTTCTCCAGATGCCCTTTGTGCTAAACAATCCAAACTAAAATTGATATCAAATATAGATGACACGTACATGTAGTGTTCCGATAAGAAATCCTATTCTCAGCTCAATAAATCGAAGTAAACGTGTCCCCTTATTTTGCGGTTTTCTCATTGAGATGATCTGTTTTACTAATTTGTAACTTTTCAATGAATTAAAACAATCGAATTCACTCAAGAAACTGGGTTCACTTCCATAAATTATTCGAGCACTTGTATTCAAGGAAGATTGGCTCCCAAAGTGCAACATCGATATTTTTCGATAGTTATAGGCTATCAAATCTACAGATTAATATGTTCATTTTATTTTCAACAAGTAAATAAAATAAAGATTGATTGTATTAAAGAGCAAAAGTCTTTTCTGGGTCACTGCGAATGGCATGATTTCCTCGAGTCTCTTCAGTTGCAAGCAACCATACTGGGACCGATTCGCGTCGTTCCACTACTGCCCTTAGTGGGGGCTCGCTACCATACTGTATGACTCCCGGCGTCTCCTATAGCCCGTCAGTGGAGGAACCAACCACAGTCTCACAATCTGTCTCCGACAAGAGCAGTCAGAGAACCAACCCATGCCAAGGGCCGGTAAACGGTTGGACCTTCGGACCGAGTGTCCTATAGAACTATTATCTTCAACGCCGTACCCGGGGCTCGAACGCGGGACCTTGTATCCCTCCGTACGCACGACCACAGTCACTAACCACCTAGGCTACACTGCTCAGGTGTCAAAACTACTCAAAAATGTAATATTTGTTCGAATATTTTGCTTGGATGAACATGAACATGGCTATAGTAATCCTATTTTCTCAATTACTTGATTTTTGTATTCGAATATTACTAATTATAAACAACGACAACCACTACGAGCTTGGGTATGTGAAATTGGCTAATTTGCTACTTCATGTGATGAATGCGTCGCACTAAGGCAAAATATCTGGATATGCAAAATTTAACTCAATAATTCTTAATAGAGTACGATATCATAGTTTAAATTCAAAATGTCTGTATTGGTTTTCAAATTAAAATGGCGAATTACGATCGTGTATGTAATTCCAAATCTGCTCATTTATTGAAATCCCAATCGATAAAAAAGTTACAGAATTAAAATGTAAAATTGAGCACCACTGGCCACTCACCAGGGATTGAAGCCCAAAGTTTTTACATTTCTCGGTTGTTATTGCCTGTTAGGGACTCCCGGTAAAACGATATTAAATACAAGCTTCGTGACCTATAAATGAGCGCTTGGCATTGGCAGTTTCAAATTATCATTAAAACGCACGTAAGACTATAGAAGAACTTCAACCTGGAAAGCTTTGTAAAATATGATAGCTTAAAGTCTCTATTTACATATAATACACCCACCTTTGAGAACGTTGTTAATGTATTGGTTGTAGAAATTCACTCTCCATGAGTCTTGTAACAAAACAGAGGTAGCGTTCCTATCTGAGATGCCATTCTCAGTAATGAAGATCTCGGGGTCATTGTACTCATTCTTCAGCCAGTTCAGCAGACGACGTATTCCCCAGGGCACCATGCGTAGCCAACTGGCACCGGAACTATAATTAAGAATGCTGCAGAGTTACCTTAGTTCACCCAGGTGCCCAAGAATCTCTAGATTTTGAAACTACGGTAGGAACTTCAGGTTAAAATACATTAGCTCATTCAAAGTTAAAATATACGTTTAACATCCTTGCCATCAGTGAAATCAATGGGTGTCATTTTCCAATCACTCGTTACATTTTACAGTATTCATATTTATTGTATTATTTATAGTTTTCGAAACCCTCGAGATTTGGCCCCATAGCATGAACTTAGAATGGCTAAAATATTTTCAATATTCCAGTTTCCGTTCAGATCGTCTCCATTTGATAATGATGTACATGTAAAATCGACTTACGTAGGCCAACTAGGATCAAAACTTTCTTTCCTGTCCTGGTCGTCCATATAGCTTGGAGTATTTGTAGCACTATTGGGGTCCACATAGTGTTCTACAGCTTGGGTGGTGTATGTATTCAACCCGAAGAAGTCATGGGTACCTAGACAATGCAAAATTTGCGAATGACAAGACCTAAATAATTACAGTAACTGGTCTTTATCTTCGTATTGGTTACATTGCTATCGTTTATTGAATGTTTTGGGGTCGTATGTTTTTTGTCCGATCAAGCGTTGATTTTGAGAATTATTGTTTATGATGTGAAATGTCCATCATGCAATAAAGCACAAGAGGTACCCTGCGCGCAGAGTCTAGTTATATACTACGAAGACGAAGCTCTCTTTTAAGAAGTGAAGTCAAACGAATGCAAATGGTACACAAGAGGGGGCATTTGAAAACTTTTTAACGTCTTTCCCCAAGGCTGGCACATTCTCGTTACATAATACGATGGCGTATAGAAATATATTTTCATGGGAATTAGAACCTCTTACTCCACGCATTGTATTTTTGCTTTATGCGTAACGGATTTCTTTTTTATCATGATTTATAAAAACTACTGGAAACAAAGGTTCCATCACATAGATACAAGTAGAAACATATCTTCGACATTCAAGAAATATATCATTTGCCCATCCTTACTTGAGAACGTAATATTCATTTATTTAACATTTAAAAAATATAAATATTTTACCTTTAATATACGCTTGGTCAGCTTCTGTAAAGACAGGAAGTCTGGAAGCATTATAGCCTTGAGCTAAACTTTTACTGCGCACTTGTTCCTTCATAATTTCTGGATAGTCGCCGTTTTTAAAGATGGCATGGGCAAACCATCCTATGGAAAATTGAAGACATCTTTCGCCAGCAGCCACGTCCAATGGATTGCTTGTATTTTTAGGAGATTTGAAGTCGGTGTTCAAAGTTATAGATATAACGCCTGGAATAGCATTTCGGATGTATCAGGGACTTCAACTTATCATATGATTTTATATAAAGTATAATTAGATTACTCGTTCATTATTTTTGTATTGACAATCTCCATGGTAACCTCAATTACTTATGTTTCCATGGTGTCTTGACTGCTCATCGATACACACAGCCTTTACTTACCTTTGGATTACAAAGCATAAGATAAATAGAGGCTCTGATAAATCAGAATGGAAGGTTACCGTTGGATGGTCTGTTAAATCCTGTGTTATGATCAAATCTTAAATTTATTTCTAATTTCTAAAGGTGAAGATAATATGTTATTTAATGAAGTTTAAATCATCTAACAAAACATGTTTTAAAGTGTCGTCCAAAACGAAACGTCCAGCTGCCAAACTTTTGGAGGGATTTAAAAATATTTTTTTTGCAATTGCTTTAACATGTTTTTTTTCTCAGAAATAAAAAAAATTAAATGAAAAAATCTATAATTCTTAACTTATCTGACTTAATTCACTTCAGATGAACACAAACACACATGAGATAAAGGAAAATGAATGACAAAATAATAATGAACTACCATTACAAAATAATGATAAACCCCAAAATTACCCATCAAGATCACCAGATTAAGTCACGAGAGCTCAAGCGAAAAGAGATGCTCACCAACAGTACAATCTTTCCACTGAAAAGATCCAAAGTCTCATCTCAATTCGTTTACAAATGCAAGATTTTTACCTTTCTGTGATGCTCTGAATGTGTCATTATAAGTGTGGTAGGCTTTAGCATGTGCTTTGATCATAGTATGCCCAGCTTTGTACACAGCTACACCGGGACTGACTATTCCAGGGGCAAAGCTTCCTTCTCCGTAGCCTTGCCATGCTACGACCCACGGCTCGTTAAAAGTCAGCCAATGTTTGACCTAAAATGTTCATTGTTGGCTCTACATCTTTCTCGTCTAATATTGAAGTTATTTTAGCAATGCTTGGACACACTGGACCAAATATACCCCAAATTTATCAACAACGAATATTGATCAATATCAACATGTTCATAAACTAGTGATGTTTATTTTAGTTTATATCGAATCAGATTCAAAGGCAGACTAGTGCCAACATCTGAATCAGAAGTGCTAAATACAAGACGGTCATTTTGAATTTTAAGTGAAATATTTATTACTGTATGTGTTGTTATTTTATATCAATCAAAAGTACTTGAAATCGTTTAGTCATAGATGACAGGGTCGAGGCTGATTTAATCAATATTGATAGGGGATGGTTGAGGGATGTGCTTGAGGTTGAAAATTGTTTCAATGATTAAACCTTTCTAGACACCTAAGAGGAATACAGACCTTGTCTTTACAAGACCATATCAATTAAGAACATGTATGTATATTTACAGTACACACATACGCTATGTTATCTTTTAGTCTTTATCAGATTTCTTAAACAAATCGGATGATTGAAACAATTGTGTTTTTTGAGCACTTGAAGATTTTACATAAATTACAGCAGCATGTTTTTTAACAAGCAATCACGTATTATTTCTATAATTACATGAGTTAATTCTTGCTTTGTATTATTGTCTCTTACGCTAACAATTACACGAGTTTAATCATATACATTTCAAATGCTACGTAAATGAAATCTTAAATCGGATTTGTAACTCAGTAACGAATATTGAACCACTAACTGTTTATCAATTCGATATCATATAAGTGAATTGTACTATCATATATTGAACTAATTTGTTTATTTGCGATACTACTTGATGCAATATCTTGGATGATAAAACACTTACCCTATCACCATATCGTTGGAAACAGATAATGGCATACTGGTTAAAGTACTCAATCATAGTCTCGTTCTCCCAACCTCCAAAATCCTGAAGCGTCTGGGGAAGATCCCAGTGATAAAGGGTGACGAATGGTTTAATGTTGGCCGCGATGAGAGCGTCGATGAGGTCACTATAGTATTTTATCCCAGCCTCGTTGATGGTAGCGTTGGTCCCATCAGGGAAGATCCTTGCCCATGATATGGAAAATCTGTAGAATTGAACCTGAAAAGAAAGGTTGATTCTCCATTTGCTCTCCCATTTTTTCACTGATGAAAATATGATTGGGTATTTTGATAGTAAAAAAATAAGGACGTAGTCCTGCAATACCATGGTATAAGACAACAGACATTTTTGATGAACGGGATCCACACGATTGAGAAAAATGCACAAACGTATACATAGTCATTGCGAGAGTAAGACGTGGCAATGTATTTCGAGGTGAATACGGGTTATAGCATGACGGTAACGACACCTCTGAAAACGAGGTTAGACGACTACGATCACTGATTTATCCAATAAATGGCCGTGATGGAACAGAAAACTAAGGTTGGTGCATTATTTTCTTCTACTGTGTATCAATGAAAGGATGAACGATTTTTGTAGGCATTGCATTCGGTGATGCATTTAGTAATGTATATTTTGAACGTATTCTTTGCAAATTGATGCCCGGGAATAACATGAAATAAGCGAAAAACTGTTGAGTTTGAAATTCAAAACTAACGACCTCGGGGTATATAGCTGTAACCTACATACGATCATAAAAAGCCAACTGAGCATTGGAAACCACCTAATATGTTCTACTTAAGCCATAATATTGTATTTTTAATTTGCGGTCACGCAAAAATTAATTGACGGTTACGCGAACCTCGTTCAAATATGTATCTCAGATTCATTGTTATTAATTTTGTCATATTCATCAGTACTTGATGCTAATTCTTCTTTTGCCTCTTCATTGCTATCTTTTTGACTTTTTGACATTGCGTTTGAAACCTTATTATTTACAATATGACCACGTTCCTGTTCTGGATTTGTCATTTTATGGCTTGTTTATACACAGTTTACTTACTGTTAATAGTTTGAGTGGCTCTGAGGTACATATACTGAGAAATCACGAGAATGGACTAAAAATATGAACTTCACGGTGTTACAGCATGACGGTAACGACACCTCTGGAAACGAGATTAGACGACTACGATCACTGATTTATCCAATAAAATGGCCGCGATGGAACAGAAAACTAAGGTTGGTGCATTATTTTCTTCTACTGTGTATCAATGAAAGGATGAACGATTTTTGTAGGCATTGCATTCGGTGATGCATTTAGTAATGTATATTTTGAACGTATTCTTTGCAAATCGATGCCCGGGGATAACATGAAATAAGCGAAAAACTTTTGAGTTTGAAATTCAAAACTACACAAAATTTAGTAATTTGTTTATTTTTGTCGATAGGGCATGGTCTACATTGCCTAACGACCTCGGGGTATATAGATGTAACCTACATACGATCATAAAAAGCCAATTGAGCATTGGAAACCACCTAATATGTTCTACTTAAGCCATAATATTGTATTTCTAATTTGCGGTTAGGCAAAAAATTGATTGACGGTTACGCGAACCTCGTTCAAATATGTATCTCAGATTCATTGTTATTAATTTTGTCATATTCATCAGTACTTGAAGCTAATTCTTCTTTTGCCTCTTCATTGCTATCTTTTTGACTTTTTGAAATTAGTTTCATAAATAAAGCAAGACACAATTTTTTCCTTGCCCTATAGAGGCTCAAACAAGAGCGTCTCTTGCGAGTCCTGAAAACAAATATAAGCAATTCAATATTCCATTTCTTACCCATTATAACAATAACATGGAAAGAGGCTATCAGAACTAGCAACCTTGACTTGAAAGATGTACATGCACGTAACCGTCCGCTAAATATCGAATGTACATCTAATACAATACGGTACCGTCCATAGAATTCATATATAGTCGTCTAACGACATTGCGTTTGAAACCTTATTATTTACAATATGATCACGTTCCTGTTCTGGATTTGTCATTTTATGGCTTGTTTATACACAGTTTACTTACTGTTAATAGTTTGAGTGGCTCTGAGGCACATGTACTGAGAAATCACGAGAATGGACTAAAAAATATGAACTTCGACATCTCAGTCTGTAAGTTTACAGCTTATATTCCGCTTCTAGTAAACCACCTGGCAGATTTGACCCAGTCTTTATAACCATCCATATATACGTCACCGAATGGAACTAGTTGAAAAGGAAATCTTATCTGTGAATCTTGCCTACAGGTGAGAAAGAGGACATGCTGTCTTTCCCATCCGCCATTTTTTGTTATCGTTACCGCAAAATTTTGCAAATCGCCTTGACGTAACCGTCATGCTATAACACGGTGAACTTGGACATCTCAGTCGGTAAGTTTACAGCTTATATTCCGCTTCTAGTAAAACACCTGGCAGATTTGACCCAGTCTTTATAACCATCCATATATACGTCACCGAATGGAACTAGTTGAAAAGGAAATCTTATCTGTGAATCTTGCCTACAGGCGAGAAAGAGGACATGCTGTCTTTCCCATCCGCCATTTTTTGTTATCGTTACTGCAAAATTTTGCAAATCGCCTTGACGTAACCCTCATGCTATAACACCGTGAATATGCCTAAAGTACATCGGACGATAGAAGTCCACGACCCAGTATGCGAAAAACAAGCGCAGTTGAGTCATTCTACTTATATAATTTATAGATTGTCAAAAGGTTTCACATTGTTGTCATTTTGTAAGTCATGATTTTAGACGTTTTTAGGCTAATCACTAACCCTGCACTAATTAAATAAAAGTCCATGCCATTCTTGGTCATACATGTGCTTTTGAAAAATTACAAATCGTCAGAATCGCAATGAAAGAGTGCGATGATTAACGATATGTACATAACAATCAAAAATGCTATATCATAATGTACATGTATCTAGACAAGTACTTGTTTGATTAAGCTTATAAATCAACTAAAGTATGAAGTACACTATTGGCCGATCACCATTCAAGTTATGCAACCTTAAGGCCCGGTCACACCGCCCGGACGTTGCTGGAGCGTTCCTTGAACGTTGAAAAAATTCATCAACGCTCGTCAACGCGCACAAAATGGGGAAAAAAAGAAAAACACGGGCGTTGGCTTAGCGGTGCACCGCTGAAGCCGGCGTTGCTTTAGCGTTGGTTAAGCGGTTGCGAGCGGTAGCTAGCGTTTGTTTAGCGGTAATGCGAGCGTTGGTATAGCGGCGTTCTGCGCATGAGAGCGTTGCCTCGGCGGGGGTAAATAGCAGCAGCGTTGGTTTAGCAGCATATCGCGTTTGACTACTGGGAAATTATTTCAAGTGGGAAGTGTTTAAGAGTAAAGACCTTTATTGGAATTTGTAACTTTAACAAAAGTCCTTCAAGGATTAAAGAAGAAATGTTTTAAATCTAAAGTGCTTCTATTAATGTAATATGACATTAAGAATGAATAACATTACAATTTTATTTAATAATCTCTCATATCATTTCAAACAAACATATCACAATTTAATCGTTGCATTTCCATTACTTGGAACCGATTTAGGTTCAAATTGCTTTAACAATGTCTAATAACATTTACAGCAACGTAATAATCATGACGCATGACAAATTTTTGCTTTGCTGTGCGCGCATCAACTTTTTGTATAATACCATGACGAGTGCAACATTTTACAAGCTGCGCAGAAAATTCACAGATAATTTATTGAATTGCTTGACTTGAAAACACTAGGTATATACTATATTTGAATAAAGGTCTCAGTAAAAGTCTATTTGTATTAACATCTAATGAAAAACAAAAATCGCATAATTCACCTTTTTAAAATCCAAAATCACAAACTTTGAGCGCTTAATTTAGGAATTTACAATGCAAAAAATTGAAATGCCAGACATGAATATATATCAAATGCACAAGTGTCTCCACAGTGTTTTACACAGTGGTGCATTTCTCCACGTATTTATAGCCAAATTCTGGTCCCGCTCCGACACCTCTATACCAACGCCAAAGCAAAGTTCATCGCCGCCATGGAACGCTGCGACAACGTCCGACACCGTTCCAACAACCCCATGTACGCTGATAAAACGCTAACAACCGCTCCACCGACGTTTGTGCAACGTTTAATCGCCGCCCGGGCAACGCTGGCGAAGCAGCGGTGGTCCAGCGTTTAAGATTTCTGCGTTGGTCTAGCGGATTCAAGCGTCCACGAACTTGCGTCTAGCGGTGCCAAACTTTGACTGGGCGTTGGTGGAGCGGTGATAAACTTTGCCAGGGCGTAAAATTGTCCCTTTTTCAACGCTCGCAATATTTTGAGCAGCTCAAAACTTTTGGAGCGTTAGGATGGCCACTCGAGAAACATTCGCGTTGGCTGAGCGTTTACAGCGTTGCTTTAACGGATGCCAACTTTTGTTAAACGGTGGTGAACGTTTACGAGCGTTGATGATTTTTTTCAACGTTCAAGGAACGCTCCAGCAACGTTTAGGCGGTGTGACCGGGCCTTTAGCTTCATGTACATTATAGAATATATTGGCCACGTTAATGATGTCATGTGATGTAACAAGTCAGGTTTTTTGAAATACATCATTAATCTACCTAACACATCCTAGCTTCCTAGAAAATAAAGTGGCAGTGTTTGGAAAGTTTATATAGACCTTGATAAAATGATAAACACAAAGAATAAAATCTTGTACCAGGTGTGAAAGGGTAGGAGGTCCTATCAAATTATGGTTCTATTTTCCATCGATCTATATGGTGACCTAAATACAACTCTTTCCCTTATTATCGTATCCACAATCAGGGCCAGTAAGGGCCTTTAAAAAAGGGGACCATAATCCCCAGGGGACCATAATTTCTTTTACACCGGGATCATATACTGATGTAGATATGAAAAAATCGAGCCTAATTAAACCTTGATAAAAGGTGGCGCTGTGACACTGAGTTACGAGACAAACGGATGTATACCCTCTCTTCAAAACAACAATACAAAGTCACTGTGTACATGTAAAGTCCAAAGGGACTTTATGGATACCATGTATATCCTACCCCTAAGAATTTCAGCATCTCAACGTCTTGTCTCCAGTTGTTGAAAGAATCACATGCGATGTCTCCAGTGGCATTTCCCTCGACCTTCCCATTATAGGAATGGCAGAATGTGTCCCAGATGTTCACCCCTTTCCCTGGAAAATGCAAATATCTTTACAGTTGTAGCCATTCATTTGATACAGTAGGGAGGGTATAAAGATACATTTAAAAAATGTGTACGTGAACATGTAGAATTATGGTCATCTATGGATTAGTTCTCTCATTTGTAGTGTTTACTTGGCCGACTGAGTGTAGGTATACAGAAAATAATTGTAATTAGATCCCTGGAAAAGTGAATTGAGAGCGGGACAGTATCCCCGGGGAAATATTACATGCTCACGTACAGGTTTTATTCAAAACCTACAACCTCCCTATTAAGATAAAACATGGGTCGTGCGCATTCCGCGTACCGTTCTAAAATGTGCAAAATGTAACATCTAAATTTTCTGAAAACAACACATGTTTTAATCATTCATACTCCTTACTCCCTCCCTCTTTTATTATCTCGATGTAGAATTACAAGGAATACATTTGCTAATGAAGTCAGGAACTAACATTGTGTTATTCGAAGGGCGTTTACTTACCACTTGCATTCCAGCCTCCCTCGATCTGATAGGAGGATGTGGCGCTGGACCAGATGAAATCTTCAGGGAAATCCCCATAGTAGAATTCGTCATCCGATTGTGTTGCTACTAAAACAATACATGTCGAAAGTAAGAATTTAAGCAACATGATTCTACGTCCTTTGTCCTTTGTTCCTGAGGTTTGACCCAACTTGTTATGCTCGTCAGGTTAACACATAACTCAAAGATAAAAATTGTGATTGGACAAATAAAGGGAATCGTAAATCTATAACTTCGTGTGTTATTCTAAAATAAACTAAAATGTAGTAAACTTGACTTAGCATTAACATTAACAAGTGGATTAACATTATCGTCAATAAGGGAACGTAATCCTGGATGATTTTAGAAAATATGCAGTGTTTTTATCTTGAGCCTGCCAGGTTTGATAGGGTGACAAATAACATGAGTGTTTGCAATTCTTAACCTGATTTAAATATCTAGAAGGTACACCTACATGTACATGGTAGTTCAATCAAGTTAATATTTATTTCAATCTTCAAAATATTGTTTTCACCCAGTACAAGTATTCCCAAATCTCAAAGAAATAATCAAAACTTAATCATATACAGCTTTACCCAGACTCCCGTACAACATTAAATGAACCTAAGTGGGATTCAAATAATCCAAAGTAAATATCAAATTGCCAGACATACGAGGAAGCATGAGAAGATTATTTGTCATCTTTGGATTTTGGAAAAATAAACTACACTTCTTATAAGATGTTCTGCATTTATGAAAATTTTTGTATGCAATTTCAATGAAAGCATATTAGGATGCATTTTCACTTTTCATCAAATTACTCACCGAGTCTGACAGGGTTACATAATTCCATTACCGTATTTAAAAGTTATACTAACGATAAATAAGAAACTAAGATGAGAAACTACAAAACTATTTGATGTGTATTTCCCAGGGTTCTATTTTTGGTCCTATACTTTTGATGTTACGAATAAAAAAATATATTTCTAAGTTACGCCAATGATGATGTATGAGGTGTCAATGTCAAAATAAAGTTATCATCGACTCTGCTACATTCAAGTCTATATACATGTAGCATTTACTATTTCTCAGAAAATCCCTTTAAATACATTTTAATAAACTCATTTGTTTATAGCTTAATGAGTCATGGTCAATGGCATAATGCAGGAAAGTCAATTAGCCACTGGCGAATAATTCAAAGTACTTAATTAGTACGTATGAACAGAAAATATATTTGTTTCATTTGTATCATTTTACCACAATTAACAATCAGTCCAGTTGTTTTAATTTGAAGTGGGACTCGGTGAACTCAACTGCCATCTATATGAAATTACTCGCTTACGTTTTATCTAAAATCCAGAACGGTCCAGGCGAACGAGCGGAAGTGAGTTACGATCACGATTTAAAGTCCACTTTCTGTTTTCTTCATTTTCATTACTGTGAACCCTTTTATGCGTGGACACCTCGCTAATGAAAAAACTTGATTATGTGACCATTTTTTGAAGCTTGTTTTGAATATCCTGTATGGATGAAGAGGAGCGCAACATAAACATTTCTAGCCAGTTTTAACAACTTTCTTCATTTCAGATTGCGTTTGCTTTTTTCTATTATACCATAACAGTGCAATACAATAATTATAACTTTAAATGTAGACATATTAGTAAACTAATTTCATTTATTTATGTAAACCATAGTACACTCAATTAGTCTAGAGCACTGAGTTCATGACATATACAAATACATGTTGGTTGTTCCAGAAAGCGCAGTGTTCCAGACAGTACTATGAGACTTGGAGTATTATATAGCGACCCCATTACAAGCCATACACATGCAAGCTATTAAAATAGAGCACATTCTCTTTGATTTATGACCATTTGTGCACGATACAGGTAGAATACATTATCAACTTTACTAACAATAGTAATTTCCATCCTGTTTCCATGACAACTGGCCCACAACTTATTCTAAACGCTAATATCACATCGTTCCCTCCTTGTTACCAATATGCAAATGTATTATTAAAACAGAATCGTTAACTTCACAATTAATGTGTGTTTTTCATCTCGCAAATACAGAAATGCCACTGCTGGATTCTGTTCATAATCTCCCGAGGGGAGGGGTATTTAATAATATGACAAGTCAATTAAACAATGTTAAATTTTTCTGTTTTTGTTTCTGGTGAGGTTGGGACGGGACTATAATAGTTTTTCGTTTGTTATTTCGTGCTTGTAATAGGAATAGATTAGCCATAATACGTTATTTTGGGGTTTTGAAAGTTACGTAAAGATACATACTATATACAATCTTCTGAGATCAAAGTAACTCATATTCACTTCAACGATTTCAACACATCGTATTTTTCAACACATCGTATTTTTCAATACATTCAATCATTTAATTAAATGCAGAATCATAAAACTACACTACACTAAAATACACTACATCAACAAAGATAGAGAAAGTGACATTACATATATTCAAAGGGAGTAGGTGTTACACTAAATAATCAAATATAGAAAGGGTTACACATAATAACCAGAGATAGAAGGGGTTACACTTAATGATCAGAGACAGGGAATGAATGACAATCATAACATTACATAAACAGATATATTCAATAACTTTGCAATATAAGATTTCGTCTTACCTTTCAAATTCTTTTACCAAAATATTTACATTTAGTAAGAAAATATAAAAAGTGTCCTTGAAGAGGAACAATCTCTCCCAATCGGTATCAGTAGCCTACTTTTAAATGTAAAACTGTATTTCCACTCATACTTGTCATGTTGACCTCTAGGAAAGAAAGCTCTAATTGAATTTCAATATATTTAAACCTACCACCTATCATATTTGATAATTCCCAAAAATTGCCCAAATTTTAAATTTGACATGAGGGATTGATGTGCAAAATGTATAAAAATCCCACGTGGGGATTATTTACAGGATGTCTCAAAAATTGCACTCAAATGATAAGAAGTCTTTACAATACTCAAGGATTCACATAATTATAATTGAATCCAGTATTTCTAAAATAGCATTACTGTAGGACTACTTAATATTCTTAACAGTTATACCAAGTTAAATTTTTTTGTTGAAAACACTCTAAAACCAGCAATAAATATAGCTTTACAAGGATCTTTATGTACTTTAGGTAACGAACAAATTTTAGGCAAATATTGTCTGGGACAAATTCAAATAGTTTTGATAATGTGCTAAGACATTGCAACTATCTGTCTTAAAACCACCTAAAATATATCATTACACAAGTTTAGTTACTTCAGACTGTTCCTAATTTCCGAGTCTTGATTTTCTTTTAATTCCTAATATCATTACTAAAATCTAAATGAAAGCTCAAAAGAGAGTAAATGCCCGAGCACCGGATTTACTTGTCCCGAATAAAAGTTTAGATAAAAAAAATGTAGACAAGTCTACGTTTTAAACAGTTGTAAATAATTGATATCTTTCTGTTTATAATATATTAAATACGAGAAGATACACCGTCTCTAAATAAGTTCCTTGTTGTATACTCGTCACGTTTCTCAAGAAATTAACGATATTTTGTAAAGTATAAAAGAAGTCAACCCTTTAAGTTAACAAAACATAAAACAAGTTTAAAAGGATGGGTAAATTCACAAAAGAATTGAAATGCCTAAAATATAAATTATGAGAACACATAGAAAGGGAGAAATGAACCGTTGGTTTTATATGCTAATAATTATGGTTTTATTTCTGCTCTTTTGAACCTATTTACATCGTATAGGTACAAACTTCATATTGTAAAATTCCGAAAATTGCTAAAAAGAGATATTTGCTGATGAAGGCGTTGAAATATGTAAAAAAAATTGTGAAAAGTTGTGTTTAAACACAAAATGGCTCAATTGTTCGAAAAGGTATACACATGTTCTTCGATATGGAGTATTTTTGGAATGATTTCAACCCAATGGCGTTCTACGCATGTGATGAAATACAATCATATGTTATAACATTACTGAATGGATCCAGGGAAGCTCTGGGGTGCGCATGTATATGATATATATGCCCATCATCTAAATACCAAGAAGTCCATGTAACGTCGTCATCATTGACTTGATGCATAAGTATCATTGGTTCATTTGAGGTCATTCAACATTGTATAGCACTCAACCAATTGATGAACATCATATGCAAATGAGTCATACCTAATATGGCTGTTGCATAGAAACGGAAGACAAGTTTAGCGTCCTTTTTTAGGAATTACGGGGCAACCACGGGTCTACCAGACGTTCAGGTAAGTAATTGCTCACACTTTATTTTTTAGGAAGGCATTGTCATCTTAATTATTTGATTTGATTTCATTTCGTGGTGTTTGAATCATTTCTAATCTCGCTGAATCTTTTCTAGATTTTTTCTCAGGTGTGCTCTAAATACAAAACCAAATCCGCGGGCTAAACCGCGCATTTTTTGGGGCTAAACCAGAGATCATGAATCCTATCGCTATACCGAGAAACACGTTAAATATGAAAGTTAAGAACGCATGACCGTGAAGAGAGCATGTTAAACGTGGTCATCTTGATGCAAAATTCGAAAGGATGCGTTTAATCCACGTCATCTTACCTGAAAAGATTGATACCATTTTTGAGTCTATTTGGTGATGCGTCTCAAGTAACATCTGTATCAAATCCATGAGATTTTCAGCTGAATGTCGATTTTTCATATTGGGTACAATGAAAAATCTAGGTGGATTGAAATAATGTTACTCTAAATATGGCAACACTACCAAATAAGTACACAGAATGATAGTTGCAGTTTCAATCAAAATAGCATTGTTTTTCATTAGCGTATAAAATACAGCCAGAGCATACATTCAAAATTTTTACATTTTTCGTTTTCTGAATAATTACGACGCTCTGAAAATATACATAAAATGTTTAAAATGGCGACTGGAGTTAATTCAATTTCATTTACATTTGTCCTTAAGAATAAAGCTGAAATGGTAGAATGATGGACACAAGAGGAGAAATGTGATTTTGCAATATTCTATTGCTTCATCCTGGCCTTGATGCATGCATTTTTTTCATAATGAAATCAGTCATTTAAAATTCAGCTACCCG